CCTCCACTGAGGAAAACTGCAACGCGTCTGGAAACCAGGCCTCAACTACTCGGTTCGCTGCTGCATTGCATTCCACACTGATATGCCCAGCGATCGGCAGGTGGAGCACCTCTGCCGCCACCCGCAAGGCTGCAATGCCATCAAAGAGGCCTACTGTGACTACTTCCATGACCTCGAAAGGTTCTTCAACGTCTCCGCGGACTAACGCCCCTTGTGCGGCTAGCCCAAAGGCGGTCAAACCAACCGAGGCACAGAGGCCACCTCCTGACATTGAGGCATCGCTTGCAGTCACCTGAGATTCCATAGGTAGTCTGAAATCCATCTGCGCCAGCGGCACCAATGAAAGGAACCGTAGGATCTCCCCCTTCACATCGCGCGGAACAGCCATCCGTCGAAGAGGAGACCCAACCTTGAGGTCCTCTATGTGAGCCCAGATTGCATTTAACCCGCATAACAGGGGGCGGCGAAACATGCTGATATAGACCAGTCCCCCCGCAATCACCTGAAGCTCCCTCCGCGTTGCACTGCCTCGCTGGACCAACTCCCATGCTAAGCCAAAGTACTTAAGGATCTTGTCGGGCTTTGCATAGGCTACTCCTGCTGTGCCATCAATGATGGCGCCTTGTATCTCGGCTTTCAAAGCACCTTCCACTGCTTTTTTCGGATGGCGTGGCAGCTCACAGGAGGCATACGTCTCCCTCATCGCCTGCTGATCAGGAGAAGGCTGGCCCTCTATCTCAGCAGCCAAAAGCTTGTCCACCTTTCGGATTTGATCCTAATTGTCCAGGTAGACACGGAAGAGGTTTTTGGCCACCGTGGGGGGCCGGTCCCTCCTGAGTTCCCGCTCCCCACCGCCAGGAGCAGGCTCACGCCCCAAGGTCCAGGCAACAACATTGCGGTGAATATGTTGAGCCAACCCTACTGAGTTTAGAAATCCCATTGGGAGGACCTGTGACACAAGGTGACATGGTTCACCCTGGAACTCCCTTGGGCAAAGGTGAGGGGGGACCTCTCTTGCAAACCCCATGTAACGATGCCACGACGGGGGGATCCGGAACAAATAATAAAAACATTTTATGTCTTCACTAGCCATCATGGCCACTTCCCCTTCCTCCAAATAAAATGCACTCAACCCCGCAATGGTTGGGAGGGTGTCCACCGCTCCCTCGGGCCAGTCGCTCTCGGCCACCATTGTGCGGGGTGGACGGCCCAGACGTTGTTGTTCCTGAGGCAACAGAAAGCTTTCGAAATCTTCTATATAGTTTCTACATCCACCCGTGCAGAACTGTTCAATTGCCAAAGAACCTACTTCATCAGGAAAAGCAGCTGAAATAGATTTCCAGTTAAAGGAACGAGCTAACTTGATCTCTTCACCCCGGTAATCCACCCCTTTGATTGAGAAAAGCTCCTCAAACGATCTAGGGGGAACCGTGTCAGACCATTCCCAAAAACGTTGAAGAAAACTCACCACTGTAGCTGCAACCCTCTTTTGCAGATCCGATGGGGACCGATGTGAAGGTCGGCCTGAACCATACAACGAGTTCAAACCTTGAAGAACTGCATTCAACCATGCCTTCATGTCTGGGTGAACATCGTACCAATCCCCCAGGGGCAAGGGAAAAAGAAAATCCTTTGCCGTGGTCAAGTTCTTGCTAGTGCGCTTCCATTGATAAAACTGGAAGGATTGGAAAATATGTTCACCTAGTGCCGGAAAAGTAAGGCCAGCTAGGCCCACTGGAGAAGCTCCAGCTTCTGTGCACGCGCGCGGCCCCTGGCCTGACTTCGCAGGCTCACTAGGTTGACCGCCCAAGCCAGGAGCACCTCCCTTATACGCCTCTTCACTCCGTGATAGGAGGGCTCCCTCTATTGAATTCCCATGCCATGTGGGAGAACCCACAGGAGAGCAGCGCTGCCAGTCGTGATGTGGCCACCCTCCCAAGCTTACACCCACCGATGAATCACCACTCCCATGATCTCCAGAGGAGTGGGCCCTCCAACCAGCCTCAGTCTGTAAAGCTTCGCTCACTGCATCATCTGTCACCCCAGGAGACGCCGCTGTCACCCACCTTTGCTCTTTTTGCTGTCCTCTTTGTTGTGGTCGCCCTTCTTCGGATCGCTCTTCGAGAACTTCCCCTTGGCAGCACCCTTCTTGCCATGGCCTTTCGACCAGTCCTCGCCCTTGGACGAGCTCGACCCCCTTGCACCGTAGGGGCGAGTTGCTTCTAAGCGGGCTTTGCCCTCCTCGCGGGCTCTTCTTGCAGCCTCCTGGAATTCGGGAGTGGTCGAGATCGACGTCAACTCCCGGGGCAGCAATTCCTGTTGTTGCGCCACTGTATAATGCACGCCGCTCATCTGCATTTCCAAGGCCTTGACCCGCTGGGAAAGCAAATCCAGCGTCTCCACGCAACGGCCGCGTAAGAGGTAGTCGAGGGCCTGGCAGATAGTTTGTGCTTCTCTCGCCATGGCCGGGCTCATCCGGGTGGCGAGTTGTTGGCGGAAGTACTTGGAAAACAGGGGGGGAGAGGACCTGAGTCCGGCTCCCAAACCTCCCCGTCCTGCAACAGCAGGGCTTCCCCTGCTTCGCCCACTGCGGCCGCAACCAAAGCCCCCGGTAGTTTGCGTCCAATAATTTGGATCTTGCTCGACGACCCAAACAGCGTCGTATCTCCGGCCGCCCCACTCAGGCCGCTCTCCGAAGAGCTGCTTCCGCTGCTTGATGACCTTGTCCTCTTTTGTCGGGCCAGCTTGGCCGCTTTCCGCCTGAAACGCTTCCGGACTCCCGGATCGGGGTCGGCCCCCGTGTCTTTGAGAACTGCTGTAACCTCCTTGCGGGCCACGATCTTCAAATCTGCCTTCTTCCTCTTCCGCCTGCTTCGACTCCTCTTTTCCTCCTTCTTTTGACGGGAGGGGCTTTCGACTACCTCTTCTACTCCGGGACCTGGGTAGCCGGCGCCCCCCAAACGGCCTTTGTCTCGTCGAAGATCTGCTAGTTCGTCGCCTTCTCGAGCTCCGCCGTGGCCTGGGACTGCATTGGACATCCACCCCTCGCGATGCTCTCCTAGGACCCTCAACCTCTTGACATGAATGAGGCCCTCGGCATGAGGGGTCCCCGAGCAGCCCGCGCCGCACAGGTGGACATCCACGACCCTCTCGGGCAGGGCTGTAGCAGCCCGCAGCAGTGCCTCGTTCTGGGTCCCCAGCACCTGGCCCTTTAGGAGAAGGTCTTCTCCCCTTAGGTGGACTTCTCGCACCCGCAACGCTGCCTGAAGAGCCTCTTCCCAATAGCTGCCTTCCACTACCTCGATATCTGTCAACGTCCGGCATTGTGCCAAGGAGATATCTGCACAAGTGATTATCTCCCCACCTGCTCGCCCCACCGCTTCACCCTCAGCTGCTGGACGCCGTGCTCTAACCCGGGCACGCGGCGCCACAGCCGCCGGTCGGCGAAGTTTGGGCGGCATCAGCGTCTGGCTCCACGCCAGAAACGCCTCCTGTTGTGCTCGGCGCGCCGCTTCTTCTTCGTAGTCCCTTTGTTCTTGCCGAAGTGACGACCCTGCCCCGGTGGCGGTTCACGCCGGTGTGCAGGGATAGGCCCTTCCCACCTGCGGCCTACCGGTCGGCCGGAGGGTTGTGGTCTAGGGCTGCGCCTCCGGGGAGGAGAGAAAGAAGGGCTGCGGGGTCTGAACTTCCTCCTCGGCAACGCCTCCCGATTGTCGGACTCGCTACTCTCCCTTTTCGACCCGGCTGGGCGCACTGGACTAGCGTACCTCACAGGAGGGCTCTCCCGTCGGCTCCTCCCACTCCTGGATCTTCTGCTGGTTTTGCGGCCTCTTGACAAAGACTTCTTCTCCTTCGACTTCTTCTTCTTTTTTGATGTTGTCTGGGGTGATCTTCGCGACGATGATGCTCCTTCACGCACAGGGGACCCTTCCCCCCTAGCAATGCTTGCTTCCTCACCCTTTGGGTGCAATGCCCTAGGCGGCTCTGGAGGCCCAGCCTTGGCACTGGCACCAGGTGGGAGTGCGTCAGGTGGCTCTGCAGGCGGTCCCTCCTCCCCGGCGCCCTCTGTCTTCACAGGAGTGGGGGCTGGTACACTCCCGCCAGGGTTGGGAACCACGCCTCTGCTGAGCTCGCCGAGGTCCTGGATCTCCGCCACCCACTCTCGCAGACGCACCAGGAGGCCACTACCTGTCTCCGCCGGTAAGTAAGGGCTCCTTACCAGACAGGCCAACCGGTCCACAGTCCGGCAAACCTGGCAGAGACCTCCACCAATAGCCTCCCACTTCCCGTGACACAGGATGCAAGGGGTGGGGGGCATGAGCTGAAGCCAAAATGCTATGTCAGAAATTAACATGGATGTGTCTTTACACCCGGGCCGGGCAACCATATATCTTGCAAATATAAAAACGTAATATATATAATATAATAATGTAGAATGAATATATATATATATATAGATGACTTGGAATTGGACAATTTCCATCATCTCAAATGCATTATATCGTAAATAGGTACCAGGCGGACGGTTTTTCAACACACACACACAAATAGTTCCGAAATACCCTGATACCATTAGCTGGTTCAGTTGCAAGTCCGCTGCCAGGCTAAGGTCGTCCAAATGTGTTTCTGAAAACCCGGCTGCCAGTCAGCATCCTTCAAACTTGATCTCAAAGCATAAGATTGTATCATTGGATTAGTTTATAAGGAATAAATCATTGGGTTTTATAACATAACTGGATCAAAGTCTGGCCAAATCAGGTCAATATTGGATTTTCATTAACCGGAAACCATTGATTTGTTTTCCCAGTTTGCAGTTTGGTGTATATAACAATGCATTACTATGTATAAATCCAATCGACCTATAGATGTGTACCATAATCCTCAACTTGCCTCAACCTACATATGTCAATCTACTTAGCCATTGTTTTGGGCCCCCTTTACGGTTAAGGGATGTCACCGTGCCCCGAGAAGCCCGCGCTGCCAAGCCTCTTGGCCTCGAATCATCGCAGCGAATGCCCCAGTTTTTTTGCTCCTGTGGATGTGCGCAGGGAAGGTTTGGCACTTGAAGGGCCTGACACTTCATAGATCACATGATCAATCTTTGGCGGTCATCAAAAATTCTCATCTTCTGCTGGTTATTTTTATTTTTCTATGTCTAGCCCAAAAAAAGCATCAAAAAAACAAAGGATTCGCTTCTATCCATCCGATCAGTTGGGGGGAAAATTGGAGTGGCTGGATCACCTTGGGACAGGACTTCGGCCGACCGAAAGCCCGAACCGAAAGTCTCCAACAGGATCCTCCAAATGATAGCTACAATGTGAGGCCCCCGTTCGATAGCTAAGTTGGTTTGTAACTCCAATAACTATGATTTATGGTACTTATAACTATAGTTACTGGGGCTTATAAACCTAATTTATTACTGGGGGGCACCACATTGTATAGAAGTAGGTTTGCAAGTCAGTTAACTAGGCGTTATGTGGCACATCCATCTATCACGGGTACGATTAGAAGGGTTTATATATATATATATATTATACTTAGAATTGAGGAGCCTTCTGATTTCGAAGCACATTTCCATATTTAACCGACCTGAAACTTGCGGTCAAAATATGGGGAGGGTCGCCCCTACTAAAAAACACGACCCACCATGAGTTTGATGCTTCTTCTCTGAGGGATCCGGTCAGTATCATATATATATATATATATAAAATAGATATAATTATATATAATAATATATTTATGTGTATATATATAAATATATATATGTGTATATATATATGTGTATATATATATATGTAAATATATATATATATATATGTAAATATATATGTAAATATATATATATATATATACATATGTAAATATATATATATATGTAAACATATAATAATATATATATATATGATATATGACATGTTACATATAATTGATTACGATTAATTAGGCATATATATATATATATGTTCTGTAACAGCAGGTTCTCCTACAGCAAGTCGAGGATTATGTCCCCAAAAAATGATAGCCCCAGGCCCTCAAGGACAATAAATTGACTTAGCCAAGATTACTAAAACACATCAAAGCTTGCCCTTGTAGACCCGCTACAGCTTACCACATGACAAGTCCACAGTTGAAGTAAGTAACTCACCGGCAAACAAATAGTAGATTGTACAGCACATATAGGTACTGTTTAGAAGATTTAATCTCTCAACAAATGGGATTTCCCACTGCTATGGTACATACTATGGGAAGGTATGCTACCACGCTGAATGAACGTTTTGCAGCTCTGCCACACGACTTGACCTTTACTCTCAAGTTCAGCCATTTGCATTTTCACTTGCTGTTCTCGCAGTGCTATGTCATGTTCTTTTTGTAGGAGCTGTACTTCGGTCCTGAGCTGTATGTGTTCAATTGCTAGTCGTGCAACTTCTTCTGTTTTCATCACCAGTTGTTTTGCATTTTCTTCGCCCCTTGCGACCAAACCAGCGCACATGTGAAACCAAGGCATGTCTGAAACGCTTGATCTACTCGCGAGATGGTGGACTCCATCTGCTGGTCACTAGAATTTGGCTCATCATAACTGGTTGGTAGTTGACCTAGCCCTCTGAAAAATATGAGCCAGATTGGATCATCATCCCAACTATTGGGAAAATAAAAAATGTTCCACAAACCAGATAACTTGATGTTTTGCCCCAATTTATTGTGAATACGCTCACAATATCGTGACAACTGGACTATTCCTAGTACCAAGCCGTATCAATCAACCGCTTTTGGGGGGTCTAACCACCCGACTGAGGGGCCGCTGGTCACATTTACCCACATGAATCTAGATTTATTGGGTAAAGAAACTTGATTAAGTGGGTAACGGGTAACACCCAAACTCTTTCACCAAAAAAGAAAATATGTTGGTTATACCCTGTCGTTATTTAACATTTTAACATAGCTGAACATGTCCCATTTATAGATGATAAACATGATGATGTTCATATCAAAAACGGTGATTTTCCAGTTCACTACGTTAAATTACAAAGGGCATATGCTCGTTCAATCCACGGTTGACATTACCGCTGGGTACCCGGCGTGTTGCCGATGTATCAAAGTCGTTCCTGTAGCTATACCTGGCATGGCTAGGCCGTGTTTGTTGGTTTATAAACTCAGTCCACTGTGCAATATATTATTGACTTATAAGTGGATAACTTATAACCTGTATAAGTTTCATTATAGTATGTCAACATGTTTTGTTTATACATATGTATAAATTATTATAGAAGGTTAATATGTGCCAAAAGCCTTTGTCGACCTATTGATCAAATATCAACCAACTTTGGCAACTGTGAGGGGCAGCTTTGTAGTCATTTACCGTATCCACATGTATTCAGCGACGATTTATTCAACTTTCCCCAAAAGATGCACCTCAAACAAACAGAAGCATTGGAACACACGAAGCTCAACGGTGAAGGAAACCGAAAACAATCTTGCTTCGAAGACCCACCGTAATGGTCGGTGGAAGGCCCCTGCAGTGGTTTAGTTTGCCCCATCGAAGTGGTTAACGGTATCCACCATCAATCCTTAACTGCAAAGTTAGTTGGTTTATGGCCTCTGGCCCACCCTAAAACTCTTTTCGGATGGGTTGCCTTACCGATAAAACTCCATATGTAATCCAACACCGGGACAATTTCATACGCTACCCTACCTGCTTCAACCGAGTTGGTAAGTGAGTTATAACCAGTTCATAACCCCAGGTACGAACAGTGTCACATGTGTCAGCAGGCTTAGTCACTTCCAGCTATAACTGCGGTGAACTCAGCAACTTGGCCCAGGAACGAGTCGACAATGACCTCCGCACCCATGGAATCTGCCACAATATCCTTAGAGCACGGTTATGTCACTTATGTCCTACTAGCCGACCAGTGATAAGTCAGTGAAATGACCCCATTTATGGAATGATACCCTCTGGTAAACTAACAGTTCACTATGGGAAATCACCATTTTCAATGGGTAAATCCACTATAAATGGGCCATTTTCAATAGCTATGTTAGTTTACCAGAGGGTAACCCCATTTTTGTAACCAAAAAACAACTGGTACTCGGGAAAACGCTCGATTTTCCCACTCCGCTTCATTGGATTTCCCCATGGCAAATCTTAGCGCCAGGTTCAATGGCTAATTTTGGATACCCATGACAAAAACATGAACAAACATGACAAATCAAACAAAAACGAAGCAAGCATCATATACCCACATTAAGACTACACAAGAATACAAAAGACGTGGCCCTCTGTGAAAAACATGAGACGTTGACATGACAGATTGACATGATGAGCAACATCAACGGTGAAATCCCTATGTCCATGTCAAGAAAATGTCTGGAGAACTTGAAAAAAAGGTAGCTCTCAAAACGGGTTTGTTGCGCTTTGTTTTCGGGATGCATACATCTGCATAGATACCCACATGCACACCTATATATATATATATGTGTGTGTGATATATATATATATAGAGAGAGTTACATATATACATACATACTGGACTCCGTTGGCAAATGTACATGCATAAATTCAATTCATGTGCACATTTCAGGAGGAAAACACCTTTATAGATTAGGATTGTCCATTGCCATGTTTGATTACCAACGAGTACCTTGACGGTTCATCGGTCACTCCTTGGCACATGTCACCGTGTAAAGCCCATCTGTTCCCGCCTATGTGTCTATACATCCATATTACTATCAATGATAAAATAAGATAAATATATGTCACTATACGCGTATATGAGAATATCATAGAATATCATTGTTTTATCTAGCTGTTTATACTTCCATTTCACTTCATTTACTCTCCAATAATCAAACATGGCGTAAAAATCCACCAGAAAAATAGTGCATTCTTCCATCAAAACATCCATTTATCAGGGATTGTCCCATGATTTTCCTCTGATTTTCGGGTCTTCCCAGGGTTTTCCCATCGTTTTTCCATGGTCTTCCCTGCCTTTTTCCATGGTGATTTCCACCCACCAACCCCTCTCCAAGCGTCGTGAGGAGCCTGGGTTTCAGGGCCGCAGCATTGCATCATGACGCCACTCTCCTGGCGATTTCAATCTTGAGCAATATATTTAGTAGCATTTAGCAGCAAGTTGTAAAATTATATATATATATATATGTATATATTATAGTAATTATATATAATATAATATGGTAATATATATATAATGTGAGATAGAATGCCACGGATCGAAGAAAGTAGTTTGAATTAATGATGATCCCCTTCTCGGAATATAATCTGAGCTACAAATTACGATGTTTTCATGATTTTCCAATGCTTGATGACATGACCAAGTCGTGTATCTCCCCATGGTCCAAGCTTAAAGCCTCAGTTGCCAGCCATGGGACCCGCCTTGCCTCCTGCAGCTGTGCCCAGGGGTTGATGCGATCTTTCTGCAAGTCAGAATCTGGGCGGCTGACGCTGTTCGTCAGAGCTATAGCATGTGTAAACAAATATACGTATGCATATGAACGTACATTTTGTAAATGCATATAGTCATGTACACACACAGGTATACACAAGGAAGTGTGCATACATAAATGCAGACATCTGAAAAAAAAACAAAAATGCATATGAGATTAAATGTGCATGCTTATTTATACACGCATATCAAATTAAAGCCATGCAAAGCCATAGCAGGTCGGCTTTGCAAACAGCTGGGGCGGGTTTGGTTCGGAACGGAACATGGCTCGGGGAAGTCCCGGAACGAAATGAAAGTTATGATACCCGGCCTGGTAAACTAACACTTTGCGACATTGAAAATGGCCATTCATAGTGGATTTACCCATGAAAAATGGTGATGTTCCATAGTTTAATCCAATACATATAGCTATTGAAAATGGCCCGTTTAGTTCGTTGATTTACCGAACTTAAAGATGGTGGATCTTTCCAGTTCGCTATGTGGCTGTTTACCAGAGGGTTTTTCTCCAACTAATTAGGTATGGACATGGAAAGATCCACCATTTTGGGAAAATCTACGAACTAAATAAATGGCCATTTTCAATGTCGCAAACTGTTAGTTTACCATGTCGGGTAAATCCCATTCATATCCCATTGAATCACTATAAAATTCCACGAAATCATTGTAAATCCCATGGTTTCCATATATTTCCCGTATTTTTCTATATGAAACCATATATGAAACCTATTTGTTTCATGTAAAATCCCATCTGCTCCATTTTTTTCCATGGAAATTCCATGTTTTTTTTAAGAAAAAAAACACCAGAAATCTGTTGGAGGCGTCGCCCTTTGTGAGGCCCCTTTTTGAACGTCGCCATTTCGGTGATGTGAATGGGGAAAATTCGGGGGGTACTCCTCCATGTTAATGATGGTCAATTAATGATGATGGTTAATAGTAATAGTAATACTTTTTGGTTATAAAAATGGGGTTACCCTCTGGTAAACTAACATAGCTATTGAAAATGGCCATGGAAATAGTTGATTTACCCATGAGAAATGGTGATTTTCCATAGCTATGTTAATTTACCAGAGGATAGTCATTTCATCTAATACTTAGTATTATGGTACCTTCCCAATGAAACAGCCGTAAACGGGGTTTATTATTCCAGGGTTGACATTGTTGGTTTTTGTTGGGCCCATGAAACCATTTCGCCTCCAGAAAATGAACATAGACCTTGCCGAATTAGTGAACTATATGATTAGACTAGATGTCCTTGATAAACCCAACAATTACCCTTTGGTTATGACAATGGTATAGATGGCCCTTTGAAATAGATGGTTTACCGAACTTAAAAATTGTGGATCTTTCCATGGCTATGTTAAATAACAAGATGGTACCCTCCAGAAAATGAACATAGACCCTGCCGAATAGGGATTGGAAGATTAGTTCCATAAAAAAAAAAATCAGGGTCTATGTTAATTTACCAGAGGGTAAGCTCTGGTAAAACCCCATACAGTAACAGTTATATCCCACATAATATAACTTTAGTTGATCAAATTATGTGGGTCAACTTAGGGGCCCCAGGTCAACAGCACCCCGATCCGGAAAAAAAAAATTGCTCCCAAATAGGAACTGCACACATTCAAGGACAGACTTGCACCAATATATGCTACACATATTACCATAACCAAAAAATGTTGAATGCTTTCCCAGTCTCATCATGGCTAAGTAGATACTGCGGAAAGTGCAAAAAGTCAGGTTAGCTCATATTTCATCATCTATGATGGCAAAGAAATCAGCTCATGCTGCATCATGCTGTATCATTACCATTCACAGGGTTGCTCCTAATGTTAGGTGATCATAGGGGTAAACTCACCATCATTTACCTATACAGCAGGTTGGAGCAAACATGGACCATCCGATCAAAAACCCATGAATAACCCGTTCATATCGCTTGCAATGATCAGGATCATTTTTTTTGCATCACTCATAAGCAACCACTGGTTGGTGGTATATCTACCCCTCTGAAGAATATGAGTTCGTAAGTTGGGATGATGACATTCCCAATATGATGGGAAAGTCATAAAATTCCATGGTTCCAAAGCACCAAGCAGTAGGTTTATGATGGGAATCACCATTTTTAATGGAAAACTCCCTATAAATGGCCATTTTCAACCAGACCATTGTTGGGTTGGAGCAAAGCTGGCATCATTCTTCGGGATTGATTTCACCATCTCACCGCGCCGTTTCCGCCGGGGCCACGGAACCCTGAGCCAGTTCCATAGGCATAAACTCGTCCACGGCAATTTGCTCTGCAACCTGTAAGATTCCGGGCCCCAGGGGCCCCAGGATCAATGAAAACAGGTATTTTTCACTGGTATTTCAGTGGGATTGAATGGGTGAGAATGGAACACAAGTCAGCTACCTAGCATTGGAAAAATGATTTAAACTATATTGAATTAATGGATAATTCTGGATCAACATGGATATATTATGGAATTTGGATGATGATGATGATGATGATGATGGTGACGGTGATGATGATGATGATGATGATGATGATGATTGTGCTGAAGATGTTGATGTTGCAACTGACCTGGCCCCATCCGTTTGGATTTCAAATATTATTTGATGTTGTTTGCACCTCAAGTAAGCGAGCTTGTGATATATGAGGGCCCAATCTAAGGGGACGCAGTTCTGGTGGGAACGCGGGATGGATGCGTTTTTTGCTTCGCGGAAGCACTTAGAAGCTGCATGGGCTTCTTAGAAGGGTTTTGCTTCTTAGAAGCAGCCTCTTAGAAGTAGAGGCCTTCTTAGAAGATAAGTTTTCTTTTTGATTTAAATTGTATGTTTAGCTTCTTAGAACCCTTCTGCTTCTAAGAGCTTCTAAGTGGCAAAATTCATCTTTTCAGCTTCGAAGAAGCCCCCCCGGAATCCATCCAGACTTGCATCCCCCTACATCAGCCCCTGAATATATATATATATATAGGTGGCCATTATTCCATCAATAGGCATATTCATGACATCATCTCACAAAAAATGATGAAATGCCGGACGAAACAAACACAGCATGAAACACACATATATAATTATTACACTGCATGTTTTTAGGTGTATATTACATAATTATATATATAAACAGCATATGTAATTGCATATAATCAACGCATACTAACTAATCAATCGATTCTAACCCCCCAGCATTCACATCAAACCATCCCTCCGGCACCTGCAAGTCCTGAGTCTCGAGCAGCTGCTCAGAGCAACAGGGACCCACTAAGGACTGATTGGCACCCATCGGCGGTGCTACGAGGGCGAGGAGATGGCTTGGGGCCAAATAGGCTGCGAGGCGATGGTGGATGGTGACATATGGTGACCTTTGTGAAAAATGGGGAATGTGGGGAAAAATCAAAGAGACCCAAGTGGAAAGCCAATGGTTTTTGAGTCATGTTTTTGACCCTCCATGTCGTTCCAAGGTTGCATCTGGTCGCCTGGTTTCCTGAGAAACAAAGCGTTGTAGAGTGCATGGTGACCCTTTGAAAGTTTAAAACGGGGCACATGATGGAACACAAACGACCGGTCGTTTTTTGTATCTCTTTGTGGCAGTAAAGAATTTCTTTGCCAAGCAATGTCTTCAGGTTTCCCAACATTCCTTTCTTTGAGACCTGTTTTGCCCCAAAATTCCCATATGTCAGCTGAAAATCTGGAACACTTTCCTCATCAACCGGACCGCTCTGTTTTTGGCTGGACATACCCAGGCGTCCTCCAAATATTTGCAAAGACATCGTAAAAAAAAAACCTGGTTGAGTAGTATTCTCTCTCTATTCATTTTGGGGTCCCTTGTTCATCCTTCCTCATGTTATCTCAACATAACATTAGGCGCATTAGGAAATCGGAAAACCGCATTCCCCATGTATCATGCCCCCCTGCCATGCCTACGACTTGACTTCCCAAATGCTTCCGCACTGGTGCAGCTTCCCCCGTCAACAGCGATTCATCACCTACCCGGTCGGAAAGAAATTGATGAGCATAACCTGGGAATGCTAAGTATTTTGTCCACTGGAAAATCCACATGTGTCAAAAAAAATACCCCAGCGTAGACCCCAAACAATGGGTGGATTCAAGGCGTGTTTTTGAGGAACAGAATCAAACACATTACATGAGAAAGCATTCAGAACAAAAAAAACAGATCTTAAAACAAAAATTCCGCATCTGTAATCTATATAAGAACAACCCTAATGGGTGATAGGATGCTACGCATCTTTAGATGAACAAAAAAAATGAATGATTCGTTGTCCGCTTGCCATGCTACGATTGTGATATGTTAATGATGGATTTAGATTTAGAAACCAAACTTGGTGATATGTTTATGCGTGGTGTGCAAGCACATATTCCTACCATAACAATGGAAGCCTCAGGGAAGGATGTTTACTGAATGGCATCATCGGCTGCTAAGTGTCCTGTAAAACAGCAGGAATGCTAAGCAAACATGACCAAGCTTTGGGCACTCCTACCAGGGTGCAATGAGGTGCACCAGACTGCTGAACTACCCTCTGTTTTTTTAACATAGCCATGGTATAGATGGCCCATTTATGGATGATTTTCCCAGCTAGAAACCTCCATTTATAAGGGATTTTCCATGGCTATACTAAATAACCAGAGGGTAAATTCGTTTGTAAGGAGATTAACCAGGGTGTAATGATGGTTAGAATAAACCTGGCTGAAATATGTTTTTATTTTAATCGTTTACCCGCCACCGAATTGTGCTGCAAGGCAGTGGGGAAAATTTGTCAGCTAAGGTGCAGTAGACCGTGCCATCGCTGGTCACTTCCTGGGAATCCGCAACGAAGAATGTAGTTTTTGTCCATAAATTCACAGTGGAAACCGAACATACTGTGGATGGTTGCGAAATTCTGCACCAGTTGATGGTGTATCCCAATATTTACAGTATAGGGTTTCATCCGTTTGGTGGTGCAGGATTTCGCAACCATCCACAGTATCAACAGCTTTATCTCTTGGAATTTGATCGTTGGGTTGGGTACAGCAACAAGCCCTCTTAGCATTAGTATTGGACAACCTTAGAATATATGATGGTTGGCTGTTGGCTCATGAAGATTCCAATGTTGGATGATTTCAATTCCTTTTTTGGCCCTATTTGGTGGGTAGTGATACTGCAATCGAACACCTTTCCTACCCCACAAATATGTGATGCTTATATTTCCCGACAACAACACCACCACCACAACCACTACAGCTGCCACCACCAGCGTCATCTACATTACCGAAGAGTAATTTGCAACAAACAATACATGCTCATGAATGTTGTGATCATCTGACGGTTAATTTTTGAATGGTTTTAGCCCACCAACTAGACAAAATTGTGCCCATGTCTGTGTCGATTATGCTGCTTTGCAACAAATGCCGCGCTCATAAAATACAATATGTGCAAAACAATCATCCAAAAATAAACCATCCCCGAATTCATCATAAATGGGTGGGATTAAAAACAATCCCCAATTCCCCAAATGTAGTTGTTTATGTCACCGGGTTGCCCACACTATATTTATTATATGTATATGTATGTATGTGTATATGTATATGTATGTGTATACATATACATATATATATATATGAGAATGGGTCAACATTTAAGGCCCCCTTTCACCGCAGCTTCAGTTCGTGTTTATTAACCATCCAATTTTGGGGGTATCCCATTTTGACCCATAAAAGAACTTCAAGAACTTCCCCATATCCCCATCATATCCTTAAAAGAAGCATCCATGAGCCAAGGGTCGCCGTCTACGGGCACCTGTTCTCCAGGCAAAACGCGCAATCGATCGCCAATCTGAATCAGCTCGTAGTCTTAGAGCAGAGGAGCCAGGCCGAACGTGACCATCTTTTGGGAGACTCTCTAAATGACGCATGTCATGTCACAATTGATGAATGGAGCCACTTACCAGTTTAACGTGCTATTTTGTGATCCTGCCAAAAGCAATGATGGCTGATCAAAGTTGATGGCTCTTGATCATAGAAACCCTTGAATGGTCGGAAGATAAGAATCTGCTTTCTCAAAATTTCCCGGAAAGGAAAAACTGTCTTAGAAGCCAACCCTTCGGGGCTTCCGTTAAAAAAATATATCGGGGACTATTCAGCTACTTAGTAGTTAACACCAATTCGCAATATTATCGAACCCCAAAAGAGTTGATGTAATCCTGGTTCTAAGGGACTCACCACATAGTTGCCTTACCTACATGTGTATACTCTGTATATATATATATAATTCACCTAAAAACAGGTTTAGTTTGTGCAAGCACCCCTCTCTCTCACTCCCATTTCATTTGCAGGTTTCCCCACATTTTAGGTGGTTGCTACAAGCACCCAGTTGAACAAACAAATCAATGTGGTAAACCCCAAAAGCAAACATACCATTTGGGAATGGTTTATTTTATAAGACCCATGAAAATTGTGATTTTGAGGATGGTTTATTATGGTTTATTTACTTGGGTTTGCCACATTGATTACCATTAAGAATAGAATGCAATAGACTATTTACTCCATTATGTGTTATATCATACCTCAGTTCATTATAGAATAGAATGCCCAGAGCAATATTACCATATCAATCCATATTATATGATAGCCATTTATAACATAATATTACCATCAATAAACGAATATTAATCCATATTAATATGTTCATTATAGAATATTACCCTATGCAATCTTACACTGGGTAAGGCACACCACTTGCACTAGTTTATCGGGATCATCATTGTTTTTTTGTAGGGAATTTCCACATTTTTTGTGGACCATGCAATTGGGGTGTTTAATATGAACGGGTGATGGGATTATAATGGGAAAAGGACATCTATAGTGCAATTATGATCCCAGTAAGAAATCCTATTACAGCTGCTTTTCAAACTATATATATATATATTATAGTGGTAAAGCTAATACTCGACCATCCCCCACAAAGGGACAATGTTGGTTTACTTCTTTTTTGATTCTGTAGCCTACCAGGATCAGATAGCCAGGCTCTGCCATGATCCCATCGCCTCCAATCACGATCAGTTGCACTGTTCATAGCTGTCAAATCTTTGCAGTCCCGATGGCCATTATAGGCTGGTTGGAATATCATGAAAAATCGCTGCCCCTCCGGCTCTGCACCTCAAGTGCGAATAGCTGTCGTTCATCATCTGAGGTGCTGTAGGTTGCATTCTGCGCATCAATCCTGTCTTGTTCAATCTGCCCAAGTGCCCCTGATAGAGCGAGAAGTTCGCCAATCGTCTCTTCAATCCAGTGGCTGCTCCCATCATTGCATACCATGATACGTCGAGTTCAAATCCATTTCGAGTCTGCCGCGTCGTCCAAGACGCAGAAAAAGGTCCAGTGCAATCCTCTGCTTTGCAGTCCTCCTGTGCGGCATTGTAAGCAGGTAGCCATTACTGACCCACTGATCAGCCTTCATGTTGGCTTTACTTCTGTTTGGGATGATGTCTATCATCACCCCCAGTCATGGGAGGGGAATGGTATGGTTGCTTGGGTTTACAACACTATATGCCAAATCATATTGGTTAATTTATTAAACCATCAGCTCCCTCGAAATCTTGCAATCCAGGTAATCTCTATCTTTCCATAAAACATGTTCAACAAAACAACTGCTATACAGGAATCTCCCCATTTTCGTTGGTGAACCCCGCATCTGCGACCTGCACTCGCTGCCCGGGGACGGATTTCTGTCTCCGTCTGCTCTCCTTCCAGCAGCCGAGCAAAATGTGGCCTGGGCGAAGCGGCGACGCGGCGACGCCCAGGAAGCCGGTGAGGTGCAGTGGGAAACATGATCTATTTTCTTTAAACAAATGGGGATATAGTGATCACACATCAATTTGTTAAATATAATCATACAATAATATGTCATAATATTATTTAAATATATGTGTGCGTGTGTATTTATATCTAATGGGGAAATAGTGTAAATGTATGGAATACATTGATGCTTACAGTATATACAGTAAGCTCTGGTAATCAAACATGACGCGCCGGAAAATTCCCCGAACTAGCGGAGGAGGTTACAAATAAGCAGAAATCATCAAACTAAATATGGGTAATTTTCAATCACACCATGTTCGACTACTGGAGGGTACCCTGTGATACCCCATGATAAATAACCCTCCGGTAATCAAACAGGGCAGGCTGGAAAACCTCCCATTTGTTTGGATAAATGTGCAATTGCAAAGTTTTATTACCAAATGGTAACCGTAAGACAAACAAAAATAGCGCCTGTGACAATCTAACACTTAGCCATGGCCCGTTTTTGTGAAATTCCCTATTAACATGGTGGTCTTCCATAGAAAACTGTGGCTCTTCATGGATTCACCAGCGAACAGTTGGGATTCACCAGCGTTCATTGATATGGCAGGTTTACAGATGTTTACAGTATCTGTCTATTCGAATGTGCTGGAGGGTAAGCAACAGAAATTACTATGATTGGGATTTAAATCATAGTAAATCCAAATGTGTCTACTATTGACCATTTTAACAACAAACATTGAGATTTACTATGATGTAAATGGTCAAACGTAGAGATTGTGCCAATGAAAAAAGAGGTATCCCACCAAGACACATTGGGATGCCATTCTACCTGAAACCATCACGGAAGAGTCAGTTCCTCCACGTTGAACATGAAGAACTTGCAAGGAAACACGGAAACAAGCGCCACTTTCTTGGGTAGTTCACTTTGGGAAACTAGCTTGGACGCTGAATTTTCTAGGAGGCCTGCTCCACGTTAAAAGCAAAACCTCCTTTCCTCCTTACCAGTACCATCATCTACCAACTAAATCAAATCTGATGTGGTAATGAAATCTAACACCTTATCATGTACCATCATTTGCCATGATTTATCATAGTTTACCCCTTGCCACCGATAACCTTAAAGTGGTTTATATATAGACGTTTGCCCGTTTGCAGCTTCTCCACTTGCCATAGTTCACGGCCCTTTTCCTCAAACTTTCTAAGTGCATAGCAACCCTCCAAAAAATCAAATAGAACAGTAACATCCTCCTCCGCTAATGATCAATTATATTCATGATAAATTATACGCGTCTACCTTTTGGGCGTAAAGCCCAAGAGTTGTCACTTTTACATTAACTTATAGTACTATAACTATCATAAATCAATGATATCAAACATATATCAAACATATATCAGACATATATCACCTATAAATCCCCATGGTTCAACTGGCAACTGGTGAAATCTCAGCTTTTTCGTTGCCTTAACAACGGCCCCGGCAGCGGCACGGCCCCCAGCGGCACCTCTTGGCCGAGATCTCATGGAGCGACTGGGTGGTCTTACTCTTCGCCACAATCTCCATGAAGCGACCCCCCAGCAGCACCTATAGATATATAGTATATATATATAATATATTTAATATAGCTAGAGGGACTGACGTCGACCGGTGTTTTCCGGAAATCGAAGATGTGGAAATATCGATGATGTGATGAAATAATGTGAAGAGAACGGTGAATAGAACTGGGAAATCGAAGTTGGGAAGCTAAATCTATAACTTGTTTCATCCAAGTTGATAAGTTGGGTTTATGATGGTTTATGGTGATGAAATAACCATAGTCAGATAGGTTAGATGAAGCAAACCGACATAAACTGCAGGAAAGCACCGGCATACGACCTGGGACTCCGAAGGAAGTGATGCTTCCCAAAAGAATGGGATGATTCCCCCAAACAACAATAACATACAATGTGGTGCCCCCCCAGTGATGTTTGTTGGTTTATAAACCCCATTAACTAGTTCGTTATACCATAGATATATCTACCATAAACCATAGTGAAATTGGAGTTATTAAGCAACTTAGCTATCGAACGGGGGCCGCAGTTTGTAGAAGTAATCCATAGCCAAGTGTCTGGGGTAACATTGGGTAACCGGCTTCTGTATGGTGATCTATCTAGTCTATCTGCAAGTGTGATAGGTTGGGATTGAAGCCAGTCAAGCCAGCTATTCATGACCAAAACTAACAGAAAAACTGTCCAGCACTACCCACTGGACCCTTGCGATGGAAAATAATGGTTTTACCGTGCAGGGGTAAATCACCTACCCGCCTACCCACAGAATCTTTGTTGTATGCTGGTAGGGATCGCGATATATGATGCTTTGATACAATTGTCAAATAAATAAGCAAATGAATGAATGAATGTCAATAAAAGAAAAATAAATAAATAGATGTATATATATACACTGTATATATATATGTACATATAATTTTAAATAATTACATATATATATATATATATATCCATGTATTCCCTTAGCAAATCTATACTTGGGATCTATTGCGATGGCCTCCTTGCCCCCAGGGTCACAGGGTCATCTCTGGTGTCACTGGCTTTGGTAGTGACAAATCCTAACATGAACAAAGACAGAACCACCATTCATAGATAAAGATGATGTCATAATTAGAATTTCCTAATTAATTAATATATATATATATATTAATATACAGTACTAAATATATATTATATCAATCATGGTGATCCTAACTCCATCAGCAACCACATATCAAACATGGCAATGGAAAATTAATATCAAACATGATCATTTTTCCCATTAATTAATCGGAAATGACTTCGACTTTGGTTCAATAATAAATACCATAATAAAAATGACCTGAGGTGTTTATTATTTGGTGAGGGCTACGCTTAGTATTAGGGGGAAGGGATTATTTGGAGTGGGGTATAAAAAACAAATTAAAAAGGTATCAAAAAAAATAAAAAAAAATAAAAAACAAATTAAAAAAATCAAAAAAAAAATAAATCACCAAATCATGGGTGAAACCTAAACTGCCTAGATGCACTTTGGTGTAGATATAATAATCGCAGGCATAAGTAAAAGACCGGGAGTGCAGCTAAAGTATTATGATGCAGTGGGCTACGCTTAGTAAACGGGGGAAGGGATTATTTGGAGTGGGGTATAAAAAACAGTTAAAAAGGTATCATGCGTAAATAGAAAGAAGCAAAAAAGCAATTAAAAAAATGGAAAAAAAAAAAATGAAAAATCAACCAAATAAACGATGATGCTTATGCAAAAAGAAAGGAATAGTAGGTGGCAAGGGGGGCCGGTTCAAAAATAAAAGCGGGTGGGGGTGTGCAGGGGGGAGGGCGCAGCGCCTTCCCCCGCAATGCGTACCAAGAAAGCAGCACATAGGCACAAGTCTCAATGGATATATTGCAAGTAAGAACGAGAAGATCAAGAAAGAAGCACATAGGCACAAGTCTCGATGGATATCAACAAAGATGAAATTAACCCAAATAAACGATGATGCTTATGCAAAAAAAAGGAATAGTAGGTAGCAAGGGGAACCGGTTTAAAAATAAAAGCGGGTGGGGGGTGCAGGGGGGAGGCGCAGCGCCTCCCCCCGCAATGCGTACCAAGAGAGAAGCACATAGGCACAAGTGGATATATTGCAAGTAAGAACGAGAAGATCAAGAAAGAAGCACAGCGATGGATGATGCTTATGCAAAAAGCCTCAATGGGGGTGTGCAGGGGGGGCGCAGCGCCTCCCCCGCAATGACCAAGATAGCACAAGTCTCATGGCAAAGTAAGAACGAGAAGATCAAGAAAGAAGCACATAGGCACAAGTCTCGATGGATATCAACAAAGATGAAATTAACCCAAATAAACGATGATGCTTATGCAAAAAGAAAGGAATAGTAGGTAGCAAGGGGAACCGGTTTAAAAATAAAAGCGGGTGGGGGGGTGCAGGGGGGAGGGCGCAGCGCCTCCCCCCGCAATGCGTACCAAGAGAGAAGCACATAGGCACAAGTCTCAATGGATATATTGCAAGTAAGAACGAGAAGATCAAGAAAGAAGCACATAGGCACAAGTCTCGATGGATATCAACAAAGATGAAATTAACCCAAATAAACGATGATGCTTATGCAAAAAGAAAGGAATAGTAGGTAGCAAGGGGGGCCGGTTTAAAAATAAAAGCGGGTGGGGGTGTGCAGGGGGGAGGGCGCAGCGCCTCCCCCCGCAATGCGTACCAAGAGAGAAGCACATAGGCACAAGTCTCAATGGATATATTGCAAGTAAGAACGAGAAGATCAAGAAAGAAGCACATAGGCAGAAGTCTCGATGGATATCAACAAAGATGAAATTAACCCAAATAAACGATGATGCTTATGCAAAAAGAAAGGAATAGTAGGTAGCAAGGGGAACCGGTTTAAAAATAAAAGCGGGTGGGGGGGTGCAGGGGGGAGGGCGCAGCGCCTCCCCCCGCAATGCGTACCAAGAGAGAAGCACATAGGCACAAGTCTCAATGGATATATTGCAAGTAAGAACGAGAAGATCAAGAAAGAAGCACATAGGCACAAGTCTCGATGGATATCAACAAAGATGAAATTAACCCAAATAAACGATGATGCTTATGCAAAAAGAAAGGAATAGTAGGTAGCAAGGGGGGCCGGTTTAAAAATAAAAGCGGGTGGGGGGGTGCAGGGGGGAGGGCGCAGCGCCTCCCCCCGCAATGCGTACCAAGAGAGAAGCACATAGGCACAAGTCTCAATGGATATATTGCAAGTAAGAACGAGAAGATCAAGAAAGAAGCACATAGGCACAAGTCTCGATGGATATCAACAAAGATGAAATTAACCCAAATAAACGATGATGCTTATGCAAAAAGAAAGGAATAGTAGGTAGCAAGGGGAACCGGTTTAAAAATAAAAGCGGGTGGGGGGGTGCAGGGGGGAGGGCGCAGCGCCTCCCCCCGCAATGCGTACCAACAGAGAAGCACATAGGCACAAGTCTCAAAACAAAATGTGAGCGCATGGTTCATGTATGTTTTGGTATGTTTTGGTCACAAATCTATGTGGCTCTGACTTGCATCTCAACTCAGTATTTCTGCAACGGGTTCCGAACGAGGCCAAAAACGATGCCAAAACGAGGCCCGAACAAGGCCAGAAAATAGTTTTGGAAACCCCTCAGCTCTAGCAGCTCAGCAGCACTTTGCACGCTGCCCGTGGTGGCTGCAAGCTGCAAGTGTTGACTGCACACATGGTCCTTCCTTCCTTCCTTCTTTCCTTCCTTCCCTTCGTTCCCCGCCCCTTGCATCCTTCCCTCCTTCCCTCCTTCCCTCCTTCCCTCCTTCCTTCCCTCCTTTCCTCCTTCCCTCCTTCCCTCCTTTCCTCCTTCCCTCCTTCCCTCCTTCCTTCCTTCCCTCCTTTCCTCCTTCCCTCCTTTCCTCCTTCCCTCCTTTCTTCCTTCCTTCCTTTCGTCCTTCCCTCCTTTTCTCCTTTCCTCCTTCCCTCCTTCCCTCCTTTCCTCCTTCCCTCCTTCCCTCCTTCCTTCCTTCCTTCCTTCCCTCCTTCCCTCCTTCCTTCCTCTCTTTCTTTCTTTCTTTCTTTCTTTCTTTCCTTCTTCTTTCCTCCCCTTATATGCCGGTTTATTTTTTTTTGATCTTTTAATTTTTTTTGATTGCTCCTTCCTTCCTTCCTTCCCTCCTTCCCTCCTTCCTTCCTCTCTTTCTTTCTTTCTTTCTTTCTTTCTTTCCTTCTTCTTTCCTCCCTTATATGCCGGTTTATTTTTTTTTGATCTTTTATTTTTTTTGATCCATTATTTGATACCTATCCCATTATTTGGCTTCCGTTGACCTTGAAGATTCCCAGTTCCGCTTAGCGCGCCAAGCAGCTGTGATGAGTACCGCGCTAGTTTCACCTCAGCGGTATGATTTGTGGCTCAAAATGTCCAAAGATGTCAAAAACAAAAAGAAACCTTATCAGGCTCACTAGGCTCACTAGACTGACCAAAAGGATCCAAAAGGCAGGTATAGCATGGTATAGCCATCTAGCACATGCCAAGAGGTTCTCCTTGAAACATCTGCGACTATCCATCTGCCTATCCCCAATCGTCCATGTACTCATGGAAGTATGGCGGGTACTCCAGTGGCTACAGCAAAAATTAGCTGACTCCAAATGATCGATAGCTCAGGCTCAAAATCACCAATTAAAAGTTGTGGGTTGGCTTCCCAAGACTCATTTCGAGCGGATTCGAGCGGGATTAGCTGATGAAAATCCAGGGCTACTGAAGGACGACGTTCGAACCCCCCAAGAAGTTGGTCAATTCCTGCGACTGCCACAAATAGAACACATCAAATTCATCGATCTGGATGAATTCTGAGATGAATTGTCAGAAAAAAAACATCAGGTAATTTTGGGAGAGCCAGCCCAAACTTAGTCATTATATGTCATTATCATAGTGACACTTGGTGACATGGCGCCGTGCAGTCGTTATCTGCAACCAGAAGGCAGAACATCGCTGACATCTCGAGGCGAAATCTGTGTGTCCTCATGTAAAAATCGTAGAAGCCGCCTAGCACACCGTACACAAAAGACACCTCAGCAGGGCTTACCGGGTTTGTTTCCACAGTGGCTGTGAAATTCAAGGTTCCAAGCTGCAAAAAACATCGAATTCCTTAGTATATGGATATGTTATGGATCATATATTGTGATATATCATTATATCTGGTTCCAGCATGTCCCAACTAGAGCTGATGTTTCAGCATCCATGTTAATGGGGCCGATCCCTGCTATTTGAGGCTCCACTGAAGGGAACTTGCATGGAACGGGTGGAAGCCATTTCAGAATTGTGGGGTTGGAATTCTTTCTGTGGTTAAAATCTTTCATGTTTGCCAAGTTTTTTTGCGTCTAAAACCAGTCTGTGGCCAAAAAAGGTTATACGATTGCCGGGTTTATGGAAGATATATATATATATATATACATCTACATACATCTACACTTTAGTGGCATTGTAAAACCAACAAACATAACTGGGGGGGGCACTATTCGGTAAATCCCTATTTCTCATAGTGAAAAATCTCAATTTTTGCTGCTTGAATCCCCATTAAAGCACCATTTTTGCTTGCAAAATCCCCACCAATCCACCAGGCAGCTGTGGTGGAGAGGGAAACTAGGGTGTTCATCGTTGACGCCTAGCACTGGGCACAATGGTTTTCGCGATGGTTTTCGCCATGGTTGGATGGGGATGGGGAGTAAAATATTACCATTTATAATCCTAAGGTTACAATTATAATCCCAAAATCCCATTTATAAGTGTTACTTGGGCCATATCTGTAGGCTATACCAATTACTACCCTCTGGCAAACATGCAAAAAGCTATCGAAAATCACCATTTTTTCATGGATGAATCAACTATTTCTATGGCTATTTTCAATAGCTATGTTAAATTACCAGAGGGTACCTATTCAACGGGGAATATGAGTAAGAATTAGTAACAATTAGTTCTATTCATTATTAAAGTTACTACTGCAATATCAATGGTAAAATAAACACTAGCATTGTATTGAGTATTAGTAAAAAAAAAACATGAACAATTTACCTTGTCACGTAAAAGAATAAGGACAGAAATCAAAAGTATAGTAGTTCCAATTACCATTCTTATATTGTTATGAGTGCACAGAATAAACAAACAAGAAAACACACATTGCATGCGGTCGTAAAAACAACAATTACCAACAAACAATTTCCAACCAATAAGTGACAACAAAAATGCAAAAAAAACATGTTATATATTGCAGTCCGCTCTTGCAATCGAAGCTTTAGCTAGCTGAAAAATCCAGCAAAGGGGTATGCCATTTAAGTCATGATGTCCCTCTTGAAAAATTGGAGTCTCTAGTCTCCAGGCAATACCCTTAAAAAATTATGTCTTAGCCCATTATTATTGAGAGAACTTTTAGAACTTCTTGGGAGTATATCATTGTATCTCCATTGAATATTGGCGTATTGGGGCTATTTGAATGTATTTTGCTATTTTTCCTGATTTTGCCTTTGGGGCTCTTTAGGACTTAGCTATGTCCAATCATATCCCCCTATAGCGCTATGATTTTCGCCCCGGGAAATCTGGCTATCAGCCCCCAATGGCCCCCTTGCAGGACGCTGCAGCGGCGCTATTTGGCTATCGACCTTTTCTTCGCAGCGCCTCGTCTTCGGAGGTCAGCACCGGCTCTTGCCATGGTTTTTCGAAACCTTATTCTGGAGGTGCCACTGTGCTTCAGTTTTTCAAATTTCAAAATGAACAATTTATAGAAAATTGAACCGGCACTTGCCAGCCCAAAAGTTGGCTTGCCTGAAACAAAAAAACAACCACAACATATAGTGAATCTCAAATATCGATGAACTAAACCTTCTCTGCCAGGCGGCTGAGGCCAGTTGGAAGGGCCACACTGGGTTCATGGAAAAAAACACAACTAGGACTTGAATCTTTAGTTTCTATTTAATTTAGGTGTTCGCTAGTCAGTAAAAATACGCGAATTTTCCAAGCATGGATTCAGAACAGTTGGGTTTGTCGGAAAATTGCTCAACCGTCATTGTTCCTATTCAAATGCAGCGTTTGTTTAAATGTGTCTTAGTATGCTTACCAATTTTCAGACACACAACGAGCTTTCATAGCACCATCGTTTTTTTTCCAGACACAGCAAATAGTTGGAAAGATCTGAAACAGTTCAATTTCTGCGGGACCAAACAATCTGATGTTTGAAGCAATAGCCATGTCTGTGGAGCCCTATGATTTCCATCGTGGAGAAACCGGTCCGCGGTCTTCACGGACCAGGATGCAACCTGTGTTGATAAAGACTCCGATTTTGGCTGCTTCATTAGGTGCCATGTATTCAAACACAATATATACCATCTGGTTATTTAACATAGCCATGGAAAATCACCATTTTTAATAGGTAAACCATGGCTATGTTAAATACCTAGAGGGTATATATGTATATATTGATAGTATCCACCATATCAATTGCCCAGGAAATCAAACATGACAATGGGAACTGTGCATTTAAATGCGACAATCATCGAAGTGTTTTGGTGCGATTTTCCATGCCCTGTTTGATTCCATGGGGAGAATCTTGCATATGATCTGGCGGACAGTTGGGGATCATCCCACATATGCTTGAACAAATGTTGAAAATCATAAGATATCATACCCTCTGGTAAACATACAAAAAACTATGGAAAATCACCATGTTTCATGGGTAAATCACTTATTTCTGTGGCCATGTTCAATAGCTATGTTAGTTTACCAGAGGGTAAATGTTTGAAACTATGAGCTGGAATGCTAACGGCCAAAAAACGGAAATTGGGAAGCTGAATGCCCCTAGCCCTATTACCCTGCTCCCTCCTAAAAGCTGGATAGTTAACCAGCAAAACTGGGGATTACAAACTATGATAGTATAACAATGGGATATACCATCTGGTTATTGGGATTAATTACACATGATATTTACTGGGACGGAATCATAAACTAAAGTCAATCATTGTATCACTAGATGATTATAGATGATTATAGATTCTCATATTATTACTCATGCATAGCTACATGTATTAAACTATATGATCATAGATAATCATAAATGGTTATACCATAATTCATTCATAACCATATCTTAAGTCACTTTCAAAAACTATATCATTCTGGTTGCTAACATGATAATTACACATATATGTATATATATGCATATGGTCGTACTTGTATTTAATATCATTTTTTCCGCTGGGATACCACTACAATATTATAGTCACTATTGATGCTGTGAAAAATATCGCTAAAGGTCACTATTATTATTGTCACTAGTCATTTGTTGTCATTTGCATAATAGCTATGTACATATATATATATATATATAATCACTGTATTCATTTATATGACAGTTATATATATATAGTCATAATTGATCGTACTTTGTATTGTATCACTATCAGGGCTGTGCACATATATACATATATAAATATATATGTATATCCTCATTGTATTATATCGAATTATATCATAGACATATATGGTCAATATAGTCATGTATATGCTTATCTTAAGTCACTATGGTCATAAGCTGGGATATTAAATATACATAGTATTAACATATCTTAAGTATTCTTAAGTCACCATTAAACTATATCATTCTAGATATTAGCATGATTTAAATGATAGTCATATATATATATATACGATGTGGTGCCCCCCAGTGATGTTTGTTGGTTTACAAACAAATTACCTAGTTCGTTATATCTACCATAAACCATAGTTATTGTAGTTTTTGACCAACTTAGCTATCGAACGGGGGCCCCAGTTTGTAAAGTAAGTAATCCATAGCCAAGTGTCTGGGTACAGTAACAGTAACATTGGGTAACCATCTTGGAAAATATTAGTCAATGGGAAGGATTATCCCATATATTATGGAAAATATAAAATGTTTGAAACCACCAACCAGTATAATGGCCATTTTCAATAGCTATGTTAAATTACCAGAGGGTATATATCACGATTTTTCGGCTGAGATAAGACGACATATGACGTGTTTCTCAGTCCGCTGTCCTCTCCAGCTCAGGCGCCGGCGCGGCGCGACATTTCTCAGGCGCTGGCGCCACGGAGCTTACGGAGCTTACGGAGCCCGTCACCGAGGACCTGGCTTCGCAAATTCATTTTGTCTTGTTTTGCGGTGGTTTGAAAAAAATCCAACGAACATACAACTCAGAAAACCGATGTAGAACAACCTCATTCACCAGGGTTTGTAGTTTATAGTATAATAGCAAGCCCCCAAAAAGGATAGAAACAGGTCAAAACGTATTTCCCCACCTGCCAAGTGAGGGTTGTTAGATTTTATCACAGTTGTTCTCCTCCTCCGCCTGCTCCTCCTCCACCTCCTTCTCCTCCTCCTCCTCCCTCTCCTCCAGCTTCTCCTCCACCACCTTTGCATCCACTCCCATGTTCACTTCCGCCTTGCCAACTCTTCGCCAAGCTCTTCGCCAACTTCCGCACGCAGTGGGCGCTGCTGGACCTCAACTGCAAGGGTCTGAGCACACTGGGCACCGCTGGACCTCAACCTGGGACCTTCCGAGCTCAGTGAGCACCGCTGGACCTCAACCTGGGACCCTCCGAGCTAACGGCCAGATAGAATGCCAGAAGATATGCCAGATAGAATGCGAGAAAGAATGCCAGAAGATATGCCAGATAAAGTGCCAGAATGTTTGCCAGATAGAATGCCAGAAGATATGCCAGATAGAATGACAGAAGGTACGCCAGATAGAATGTCAGATAGAATGCCAGAAGGTATGCCAGATAAAGTGCCAGAATGTTTGCCAGAACATATGCCAGAAGATTTGCCAGATAGAATGCCAGATAGAATTTCAGAAGATATACCAGAAGATATGCCAGATAGGGTGCCAGAAAATATGCAAGAACATATGCCAGAAGATATGCCAGGTAGAATGCCAGAAGATATGCCAGATAGAATGCCAGAAGATATGCCAGATAAAATGCCAGAAGATATGCCAGATAGAATGCCAGAAGATATGCCAGATAAAATGCCAGAAGGTATGTCAGATAGAATGCCAGAAGGTATGCCAGATAAAGTGCCAGAATGCTTGCCAGAACATATGCCAGAAGATTTGCCAGATAGAATGCCAAATAGAATGTCAGAAGATATGCCAGAAAATATGCAAGAACATATGCCAGAAGATATGCCAGGTAGAATGCCAGAAGATATATGCCAAATAGAATGCCAGAAGATATGCCAGATAAAATGCCAGAAGATACGTCAGATAGAATGCCAGAAGATTTGCCAGTAACAAAACGTATAGATGTCATGGTGGGGATAACTCGAAGTAAAGTAATTTAGTCGGATTTTACTTGTTGATTTTGTTGGGGGGGTACACCTCCGAATTACCCCCCACAACTCTTCTCAAAAACATACCAAGACCATCATCGATTGGTGCGGCCTGCGCCCCTGGGGCTTTTCCATGATCTGTTGGACTTCCCGACCCACGCACCTAGCAACAGAAGAACTGAGAGTTTGAGACCCAGAAAACATGGCTTGACAGTGTTGATTGAAGACTTAACGTCTTCCTCTATATGGAACATGCATATGTCATTATACATATATACATATAATTATGTGTATGATGTTGAATTATGGAATCATATGTGGTATTATGAAGAATTATGGGATATCGGATAGCCGGAACCATTTGAAATGCTTGCTTCAAACAATGGTTACCTGCTGGTTTGGAATTTTAGGATTCCCAAAAACAAAGGGGACTATCGGGAAATGGGGTATCTCCACGATTCCAAAGCACCAGGTTCCACCAGGTACTCTTCAGAAACCGGAAACCATTGGTTGACTCATGGAATTTTCGATGAAACCATCTGCAAGGAGTCTGGGCAACAAAAGGCTGTCATGACTTCGGGATCCCCTTCCCTGCGGTTTATAGGGACGATACCCAAATGGAGACGTGAGCTGTTGTTCATCATGGGTACCTCTGCAGCAGCTTATGCGCGTCTTGGAATCCCATCATCTGCAAACCATCACCTTGGCTTTTTTGGGCTGTGGTGGTTCAGGAACGGGAGTTCATGAGATATAAAAGGGACATCCTTGGGGGTATGCTGAGATATAAAACATACTTGGAAATATATATAATGGGATATAAGATGATTCAAAATCACTCAAATAGTGGTTTCTGGTTTGACCAAACCAACTGTGTGGTTTGGTGTTGATCCATCTGACCCTATGGATCCCTATGGATCCCTATGGATCCCTATGGATCCCTATGGATCCCTATGGTTTCTGGGGAGTCTTGGCGTTTGGGGGTGAATTAGTTGAATTAGTTGTTGTTTTTTGTTCACAGCCCTGAAACCCAATATTTTTTATACCAAATCATGTTGGGAAGCACCAAGGGCCCAAAGGATGCGCCAGAAAAATCTCTCCCCAGAGAGGCCAGAGAGGGATAAAAGTTTTCACCCATAGCCCTCATCTCCAACTCATGAGCAGTTACAATATTTGACATAGATCAATTGGATCAGAATGAAGAACTGATCCGTGGCTTCAACATTCTCAACTCACCTGAAGCAAAGTTATAATGTTTATAATTATTAATGATCAATGGGGATTATCATCGCTGGGATGGAGCACAAAAGATCTTTCAAACGCGCCACCAAAATCACCAAACAAACTAGAAATAACCTCAGGTGTCATCAAACATGGCTTGCTGGTCATGTCCCCAGTGAATACTTGACATACTTTGAGTCCATGAGTGGGCTTCGTGCCAAGCCCTTCTGAACCAACTTCCGAACCAACGGCATGGCTTCGTAAAAAAACCATAAAAATCCGTTGATTGGACCAATGCCCCAGTTCTAGATTTTCTTGGATTGTTTCCCCAACAGAACCAGCTTCGACCTAACATGTTTCTTGGATTGGGTCGAAGTTGGGATGCCCAACTATCAACCGCATTCAACCGCGGAAACTCCGCCAGTTCACCGATGCTCTTAAAACTGATTCAAATCTGTGGCCGAAAAAAAAATGATTCATCCCCATATGACGGTGGAACTGCACGCCGAAAAACTTGCTTCCACAGAAGAAAGATCGATGCTGCCTTTTTTGTTCACGTCCATGCGGTCGTACATATTCTCCAAAACCCTGAGGTCCTGGCTCAGGGTCATTTGTGGTACCAATAAAGATGGAGTAGTATACATGTACGTATAGTTCTTAAATATACATACATACATACATATATATATATATACATACATACACATATACATATACACATACGTATATTCATATACATGTATATATATATACATATTTTTCACCTGTGTCCATGTATGTATATATATATATGTATGATTATGTTTGTTTACTTTTGCTAAAACAACATCAATCGCTACATGTCTCTATATGTGAATGTATGCGTGTACTATACGTGTATACATATTTGATTAATGTGTATGAACACGTGCACACACACACATATATATATATTATATACCTATACAACATTCTACAACTATATACATAGTGTGTGTGTTTGGTACGTACTATATTGGCTTGATTTGCCTTGCAAACACATCTAACTATAGATGGTATACCCAGCATTGCACCCATTCAGCCTGGGGCCATAACTGCCCAATTTCCTGGGTGCTAAGATGTGCTTAGAAGACAAGAATTGATCCACTTCAGTCTAGGTGGCTGGTCCTGAAATAGTTTTTGAATCTGGTGTCAAAGCCATATGCTCCATGTGGGGGTTTCCTACAATAAAGGTACCCCAAATGGATGATTTATAATGGAGCATCCCATCTATAAATGGATGATTTGGGGGTACCCTATTTTAAGAAACCTCCATGTATATCTAGTTCTATGTAGTTCACCACTGTACATCTCCCACATTTGCTGCCATCCAGGGTCGTCGTTATAGCAAGCAAATGGCAAACTATGAACATCCAAAGTGGGGATCAACAACTGGGATGACACCTTGGGTCCTGAATTTCAGGAAAACCCGGAAAACCCTCTGGTAATGACTAACCGTTTGCTATTGAAAATATGGCCCATGTTTTTTAGTTGATCTGAGTAAAAATGGCAATGATTTTCCAATTCGCTATGTTCGTTTACCAACGGGTCTCACCTAAATATTCTTAGGACCAGTATCATCATCATGCAGGTCTTGGTTCACTCAGGTTATCCTATCCCCTGGAAACTGGTGATCTTCATGTTAGCTGGAAGCGGGCAGTGGAACCAGTGGAACCATGCCAAACGTTTTCGGATTTTCCGGAAATTTCCATCTATCTAAATGAAACTCGAATAAAACATATTCCTCATCTATATCAATGTGTCAAAGCTGAGATTTCTTCGAAAATTCATGTGGCAAAAAAAAACATACCCAATCATAAACCATCCCAACAACCATGACTAGGGGTTGTTTTACCTTATACTAAACAAAGGTATGTACCCAATCATAAAGCTCCATTGGGGATCAAAGGTGCTTCTGTTCACCTGTCAGTGCGTTTTTTAGTCATTTTAAAAATCGCCATTTGCAGTAAACATCCATAAAATGCAAAAAAACGAACTTGGCAAATCTTGGCAAACATCTAGGAAAATCCATGCTTTCCCTGAGAAAATCAATGTCTTTCATAGGAAAATCCATGTTTTTCATAGGAAAATCCACGTTTTTCATGGGAAAATCCCATGGTTTTTCACTTCTTCGGTTTCGGATCATCCCATCGCTGCTGAATTGAAACGCGTTTAAACTCGCGTCCGCCTTCTGCGGGTCCAACTTGCCAATCTTCACCAGCCTAGGTCCATCGTTTCGGTACATGAAAAAAATACACGTAGATTCATATGATTCAAATATAATATATATATATATGTATAAAATAATAATGTGCTTAAAATAAATCTATCTAATTAGTAATATATCTAATTCGATAAAACATTTGTATATATATATATATGTATGATTATATACCAGACGATTCCTTGTGACCTTGTTTGTGTTTTCTGCTAAGTGGCCTTTAGAAAGAGGTCAGTTAAGGAAAACGTAGAAAGAGGTCACTTAAGGAAACGAACCAAACAGTGGCCTACCAGTGACACGCAAGTGACACGCAGGTAACACGCAGACAGCCAATCCTTAAGTGACCTTTTCAGGGTCCGAAGTGACCTCGTTTCATCCCACCTCGAAACCCCAGTGACACGCAAGTGACACGCAGTGACACGCAGAAATCATGAGATCAGCCAGGCAAAGAGGTCACTTAAGGATTCATGAAGCGAGGTCACTTATGCATGATTGATCTTGTAAGTGACCGTTTGGCACTTTGGGTCTAAGTGGCTTCCATTAGAGGGCAGAAGTAACTGCCTGGTATGTGTATGTATGTGTATATGTATATATAATTGTATATATATATAGTTACTTACATGCCTGTACAAATGGATCTGAAAAGAGCGCGCAAGGGGGGAGAGAGAGAGAGAGAGAGCGAGAGAGAGAGAGAGAGAGAAAGAGAGAGAGAGAGAGAGAGGAGAGCTCCTTAACGGGATGCTAGGATGACCACGATACCCTTAACGGGTAAGCATAAAGATTCGTGGAGCAATGGTTTCCATTGGAAAATGATCTTCCCTTTAACAAAAATAAGAAGAGGTGCTATAGCGCCAATAAACCATCCACATTTTGCAAGGACACCCCCTTTTTTCAATGGGCCTTATATAGGCCTTATATATGGAATCGGTACCTTCAATAAATCGGATCCTGGGTCCTGGCCATTGATTTTATGGCCCATTTTTTAAGCATCCCGTTAAATGGTACGAGCTGCATGCTCAGCACAAACTCGTGCTTCGACAGCTTCCCCGACTGGTCAATGTCCTCAAGGAACCGTCGAGCGGCTAAGGCGGTGCCTTGGGCCTAAGATTCTAATCTGGTTGGTGGTTGGTTTCTACCCCTCTGTTGGGATGATGACATTCCCCAATACATGGAAAGATCCACCATTTCTAATAGGTAAACCATCTATAAATGGGCCATCTATACCATGGCTATGTTAAATAACCAAAGGGTAAGCAATTTACACTGGAAGTCCAAAGACTCAAAAAGTCTGTCCTCATGAATCTCAGTAGAAAGTGGACGAGAAAAAAGTACGTCCATGTCTGACACATCATGATGTACCTTTTGAGGTCCCGGACCTCAAAAGGAACATTGCTATAAGCACCCTTTCAATGTACCTTTTGAGGTCCCGGACCTCAAAGGAACATTGCTATTTATCTAGCATCCTTAATCGTGAGTAATCGTGAGCAGGACCCTAAAAAGTACGGCCCTAGGGCCCTAAATCGCGACCACAAAAAATGCTTGTCTGCTATGGCTTGCCCCAATGAAACTCAGGACATCAGTTTGGCTCAAAAAGGTGCATAAACACTAACCACTGGATCAGGTGATTGCATGGACTCTGCCAATATTTGATGGTGCAGCAACTAAATATAGAACTGGAGGTAGGGTCCCTCCCCCTTTAGCCAAGGTCATTTGTAAGTATGCTAACAAGGGGTCCTGGTAGATATATCAAACTAGTTAGATGGGATTTTAAACCATTATTATAAACCAACTAATAACTGGTCACTTTCTGTTGCACTGGCGGGCACATGATGCTGCAACTAACTATGTAACTGTAACTGCAAAACTGTAGTTGGTTGGAATAAAATCTATAAGGCGATGCTCCCCAGTTATGAGCTGGATTATACACCCCATGAACTTCATGAACTATAGACTTGTTTTTTTCCTCACCACTCAAAGTTGTCACATTCTAGGAGTGACTTTTGCAGCATCGATGCTGATGTTCCCATACACATCCCGCGAATAGACATTTCCCTCGTCCATGGAAGCTATTGCGGTCGGAATTCGAAGCAATGGGTAGAAGATAAATATTGCAGGATTGTTTTTTTCCGTGGGGTACCTGTGATGTTTACAGCATCGTCCATGCAGAAAGAAATATATACATACCGTAGCGCCGCAGGTTGCCATCTTTATCCAACATTCGAAGCCTGGTCAGCGTGGATGAACCACTTTCCAAGTAGAGTTTCCATCAGGTGTAAGCAGCGCGTGCCATGGAAAAAAATGCAGCCATGAACTATAGACTATGGTTATTCCCCCAAAAACCTTGGTTAACCAAATTATAAGTCAACTTAGCAGGGGAACTCACCTTTGTAAGTTGTAAGTAGGTGGCACCCAGTAATGCAACCTTCACATACCTTCACCCTAATCATGTGGCCATCAGCGTGCCATGTCGAGTCAGCTTCCCTAGCATGCTGCTGATTGTGGAAAACCGCCGGCCAAGCATCCAATGACTGCAGGGTCTCTTTCTGGAAACATTTCTCAAAGCACGCCGCTTGCTTCAGGAGTTCTGGCGAACGGGGTGGCAGATCAACAGGAATATCAACACCGAAGTCCAGAAGGGTCATATTCAATCATATTCAACAGCATGTTGGATGTATACCCAGACCCACTATCATGACATGCCTTCCCAACAAAATATCGAACATAGTGTCTCAATGTATTTGCCATGTGTTGCTGTTTCCCAAATGCTCCATGTATGGAATATTTACCAACATTTGCCCTAAAACTCACCCAAATGTAGGTAAATATACCATACATGGATCATATGGGTTTGTTTTCACTGTCTTTTTGTCATAGATTCTCTGGATACTTTTGAATGCTAAAACGGTGGTTGAAAACCTCCCTGCCTAAACCTCCCAGAATCTTTTGGTGCGTCTGAAAATGGGTACATTCCACCGCCATGCACTATAGGACCATCGAAATAGATCTAAATGCTGGAGAAAATCATCATTTTTCCATTGGAATTCAGGGAAAACCTCTCTTTAAACAATGTAAACAATACTATCTATTAACGTCTATTAACTATTTTTCCTTATTATTGGAAAAACATGGACATGGCATGAGCACAAATTTATTTTCCCAGCTTCTGGGGCAGGTATGCCTGTTGGACACGACTAGATTGCAGTCATGTTCGGGCACAATGCCCCATTGCCAACCACTAGTTGTCCCTCGGCTAAAAGCGTTGGACAATGTATGGACCATCAACGGTCCAGCATCCGGGTCTACACCAATTTGTCGCAAATTCATTGGGTGAAAACGGCGAACATGATGCTTTGATATGTCTTAATCATTCGGAATGAGGGGTATCTCACTTTTTTTCAGCGAAACATAGCCAAACCCATGGTGTTGGCACCAGATGTTTCGCCAGGGGGCTTTTCACGTGGTCAACATCGCAAAACACCCTTGCTCAGTCGATGTCCTGTCTGTTTAGACGTGTTGATTCAGGGTGAACTTCCAGCGATTTGTAGGAGTGAAACTTACCCTCTGGTTATGTCAAAGTAGCTATTGAAAATGGCCATAGAAATAGTGAGTTTTCCAATGAAAAATGGTGATTTTCCATAGTTTTTTAATAGTTTACCAGAGGGTACAAGGTGCTGCCCCCGTTCGATAGCTAAGTTGGTGAACATAACTCCAATTTCACTATGGTTTTTGTTGGTGATATATCGATAGTTTTCATGGGATTATAAACCAACAAACATCACTTGGGGGGCACCACATGGCCCAGTCGAAATAGTGAGTTTTCCCACGAAAAATGGTGATTTTCCATAGTTTTTTCATATTACCAGAGGGTACACTCCATAAGAACATCTTACTGTTTTGCCAACCCCTTTCATTAAGGTTTCTGGGAGGTACCTATCAACCCTCGGAGTTGGAGAAATCACATCTCTCGCAGAACAAGAGCCTTTTCCGAATTGATGCCCCATGGCCAAACATAGATACGGTTGGTGGTGCCCCAGTTCGTTAGATAAGTTGGTTTATAATGGTTTATAACTCCAATTTCACTATGGTTTATGGTAGATACTAAGTATAACTATAGTATTCATGGGGCTTATAAACCAACAAACATAACTGAGGGGCACCACATTGTACCCTTAAAGAAAAGTGAGCTGAGAATCCAATACATGCCATGGTGCAGCAATCATATTAAAAATTGCTCACATTGGTTTAAACTTATGTAAGTCTTGTAAGTCTCAACTACCGGTTTTCCCGGATCTGAGTTGATTTCCCAATGATTCATGAACGCTCAGCCAATCAGATTAGTATATAGCCCCATTTAGATACAATAATATGATTAAATGGGGCTATATACTAACTCTCCAATTGGTCTAAATAGGGATCATCAATAATTTAATATGATCTCTCCCATTTTTTTTTTAATAAATAATTCAAGTTAAATTAAACTATATATCCAATTATTGATCCAAAATGGGTTTCCCCATCAGATTATAATTATAGATATTGATCCAATTTGGTCTTTATTAATAATATATCCAACAAGGGCTTCCCAGTTCCCCATGATCCAGCAGACCTTGTCGTTCTTCGGACAAGACCTCCAGGTCTCCGATGATCGCGGCCAACCTCTGGCATAGCCGGGCAGTTTGGGGTGGATTCAACCCACCGAAATGGCAGTGGACCATGAAACATAAGGATGTCGCTGGTTAATAATGGTGGTTATGGTTAACCATCATGGGAATTTTAGCCATAACTGGTTGGTCTGGTAAACATACCCTCTGGTTAATTAACTGGTTGGGGGTTAATAAAAGTTAATAATGGTGGCTTACTGGAGGTTTACTGGAGGAAACAGTCATTGGGCGATATCCTGGCTGGTTTATGGCAAACCCAGTCCATAGGGATAGACTGGGGATATTTTGTGGATTAATCTCTGCTACAAGTTTAAGTTTCAGTGGGTTATGTTTAAGTTTCAGTGGGTTATGTGGTAATTCCATGTAAATCCATCTGTATACCCAAAAAAACACTAAAAAATCAAAGTGTATGTAATCCATAGAGCGTTGCTATCATCAAATTTCTCATTAAATAATCGTAAATGTGGAATAGTTATAGTTATAGTTATAACTCCATTTTCAGAGACACCCATGCGACTTTTTCAACTCCCCTCCTGAAAAAGACATGGCTCCCACTCTCCAAGCAACAAGCCGACAGAGAGGAGGATATGTATTGAAGCCCAGATCAATGCGCCCGTGTTCCTCGCAAACGCGAGGAGTTTCTGCTGGGAAAGCAGCGAATCAAACACATCTTTGTCTCCGTCATGGTTTCATTGGTTTGTCACATGACAATTTTGGTGCAATTGAACGTGAAATCGAAACCATGTTAGAATTGAATGATGGGAAAATTACTGTAGATTTAGATAAAAAAAACAACTACAGTTTTACCGTTTAAAAACATGGTTTCCTATAGCCATCCCAAAGCATCCCCAGACCCTTCCCAAATCAAATGATTTTTGGTGTGTCTAATATTTAGAATCAAAAATCAAATGACTAACTGCATATCTAATACCCTCTGATAATTTAGCACAGCTATGGAACATTGTCCATCAATTGGGTGTTTTACAAATAGAAACATGCGATTGTTCATGTGTGTCCATAGCTATATCATTATATTAAACAACCAAAAGGTACATCCATCAATTTGTTATATCCTTTAACATCCCTTAACTAATCCCTTAACAATTCGTTCGAGGATTTCCCTAATATTTTCCTCAGATGTTTCCTGAGCATGTCCCATTTACTTTGAGGATTTCCCACTATTCCCTCATACTCTTCAAAAAAACACATGTCCCAATATGTTCCCTCATCCCCTTAACCGTCTTCCCTAAACATATAAATAGTATACGGACCATTATTAATGTGGGTAAAGTAATAATAAACCATCCCCCAGATCACCATTTTTAAAAGTGGTATGTTTACCATTCCCAGGCGGGTTGTTTATGACATTCTTTTACCAACATTAATCCAGATAAATCCGTATAAATCCATAATTTATGGGGGTGATGATTGTTTTATCCACATGAACTTATGGTACCTACAATAATCGCACTATACCATCTGGTTATTTAACATAGCCATGGAAAATCCCTTATAAATGGAGGTTTCTAGCTGGGAAAGTCATCTATAAATGGGCCATCAACAAACCATGGCTATGTTAGTCATAACCAGAGGGTAATCCCTACACAAATCCTCCATAAACCATCCCTGACCCAAAAAACACCTACGATCATCTCGGTATATCTCAGCGTCTCTTTGTTCACGCTCTGGTCGCCGTATCCCACCGTGCTGGCCGTCACCATGACGTACCACCAGGCGCTCCAAAGGTCCCACTCTGGCTCCACCGCCGTGAAGATGGCGGCCGAGATGAACTGTGGCGGCACCATTGCCATGGCGGGTTGTCATGGCGATTTTATGGTGGTTTAAGGAGACTTAATGTTGATTTAAGGGGATCTCATGGTGACTTAAGGTGGTTTGATGGTGATTTAAGGGTGGTGGCTTAAGGGGCTTTAATGATGATTTAATGATGCTTTGATGGTACAAAAAGAAAACTTGGTAAATCTAGAGGTATAATCAGTGGCCATTTCAAAAACCGATTGATTGGAGGTACCTACCATATATAAGGCCTATGTTTTAAGCCTAAATTTCAGGGAATATCCCCACAAAATATGGTCAAAAATATGGTACTAACGTACCTCCATTTTAGGATCCTGAAGATCTCCCATTGATATAATGATCAATTTCTGGCTATCATATCTCTCTAGTAGACTCTATAATGGGTGACCCTTTGGTGATTTTGTTATGGTGATTTGATGGTGATTGCATGGCGATTCATCGTGACTTAAGGGGATTTAATGTTGATTTGAGGGATCTAATGGTGATTTCATGCTGATTTAATGCGATTTTATGGTGACTCAAGAGAACACACATGTATATGCATATATATATATAACCATCCTGAAGTAGATAGAATCTCTGGAATTTCAAAAAAAACGGTCTGAAAAAAACCTATAGATAGAATCCCAAAATGGCTCAAAAATCCGGGTCGATGATTGGTAAAAAAAAAGGTCCCTCAAAAATGATCACAAAAGCGGTCATTTAGCTTGTGATTTGGTTGTTTGGGCCTTTGGAATGACCACCAAATGTTGTCATTATGCTGGTGTATTTGGTTCTGGCATGCGAATTTCAGCCCAAAATCTTCCAAAGAAATTGTCACTGTTGCTGGTGGTTCCCAGAAATATAGATCCTTTGGCAGTGGTATTCAATAGTCAAATCCAAGAAAGGAATGGGTGTGGGTCAAATTATCACACCCCAAAATTGATAGTTGATTTTTTAAGATGTGAAATTTTGAAATTGAGCTGGGGCCAAATTTGACCCGTACCCATTTAGCTACAGTGTGCTCACCGGACCTCCTGGAGATTTTGAATTTGGACATCGATCAAAATCGGATACTTTAAAAAGTAATCTGTATAGAATTGGGTGTAATTGGGACAGAAGGTTTTGATCCATCCCCATATTCTTCTATATTCCTTCATATTCTATCTATGGTATCAACCACTGTGCTGACCCCTCCCTACTGCATTCTGCTAACAACGGCAGGTTTCCAAAAACCATTCCATGTGTTGTAGATTCTTTGGCAATGGTATTTTTGGTTCCCGGGATGCCCAAATAGTCAAACCCAATAAAGGAATGGGTGTGAGTCCAAATATCATCCCTACAAAATTGATAGTTGATTATTTAAGATGTGCAATTTTGTAATTGAGTTGGTGTGCTCACCGGACCTCCTGGAGATTTTGAATTTGGACATCGATCAAAATCGGATACTTTAAAAAGTAATCTGTATAGAATTGGGTGTAATTGGGACAGAAGGTTTTGATCCATCCCCATATTCTTCTATATTCTTTCATATTCTATCTATGGTATCAACCACTGCGCTGACCCCTCCCTACTGCATTCTGCTAACAACGGCAGGTTTCCAAAAACCATTCCATGTGTTGTAGATTCTTTGGCAATGGTATTTTTGGTTCCCGGGATGCCCAAATAGTCAAACCCAATAAAGGAATGGGTGTGAGTCCAAATATCATCCCTACAAAATTGATAATTGATAATTGAAGATGTGCAATTTTGTAATTGAGTTGGTGTGCTCACCGGACCTCCTGGAGATTTTGAATTCGAACGTAGATATAAACTGTTGGATAGTCAAACTCTATATAAGATCATGAACCAACAGTGGTTTTGAATACAGCCCAAAAGGTATTTTCAGAATCCATAAATTATAATACCACTTTGGATAATACATTGATATAGCACATGTTGTTAAATACCACTGGGTATAATCCAATTAAGAAAATTGTCTTTGACAACATGTGATTGTTTTTCCAACCGGGACCTTTTCAGGGATATTCTAACTATAGATCTTGCCAGGGGCTGACAACTCGGCTCCCCCGTAAAGGGAGCATAGCCAAAAAAGTGACGGGATTCCAGAATCCCGTCATCACCCCCCTATGTGGGGGACGCCCCGGAAAGCGACCGAGTGTGCTACTATAGTGTGTAAGGTGCACTCTGTGTGAAATATATGCTTTGTATGTGAATGATATCAAATATGTAGATATAATATGTATGGTGTTTACTATGATTGAAACATATGCTTTATATGTGAATGATATAAAATATGTAAATATAATATGTATGGTTGGATAGTCAAACTCTAGATAGAATATCCTCTAGATCCATGAAAAGACTGAATTTTTAAAGGATGCTTGGAATTAAGCATGTATTTGTGGTGCTCCCTGCCCCTTCCTCCACATCTACCCATCCAAAGTTCATTCTTGGAGCTGTTTGAAAGCAAGCTTTAAAAGGAAAATGGCATTAAAAAAAAAGGAATCCGAGATCTCACCATCCAAAGTTGAAATTGCAGGTTTTGAAAAGAAACCACAAAAGGAAAATGGGATGAGAAAAGAAATAATCCACGATCTTACCATTCAAAGTTCAATCTTGCAGGTTTTTGAAAAGAAAGCTGCGAAAGGAAAAGGAGATGAGAAAAGTATAGAAAAGTAGGAATCCAAGATCGACCATCCAAAGTTCATTTGTGCTAGTGCTGTGCTAGGACAGTTGGGCAAAACTATAGATAGAATATCCTCTAGAACCATGAAAAGACTGAATTTTTAAAGGATGCTTGGAGTTGAGCATGTATTTGTGGTGTTCCCTGCCCCTTCCTCCACATCTACCCATCCAAAGTTCATTCTTGGAGCTGTTTGAAAGCACACTTTAAAAGGAAAATGGCATTAAAAAAGTAGGAATCCAAGATCTTACCATCCAAAGTTGAAATTGCAGGTTTTTGAAAAGAAACCACAAAAGGAAAATGGGATGAGAAAAGAAATAATCCACGATCTTACCATTCAAAGTTCAGTCTTGCAGGTTTTTGAAAAGAAAGCTGCGAAAGGAAAAGGAGATGAGAAAAGTATAGAAAAGTAGGAATCCAAGATCGACCATCCAAAGTTCATTTTTGCTAGTGCTGTGCTAGGACAGTTGGGCAAAACTATAGATAGAATATCCTCTAGAACCATGAAAAGACTGAATTTTTAAAGGATGTTTGGGATTAAGCATGTATTTGTGGTGCTCCCTGCCCCTTCCTCCACATCTACCCATCCAAAGTTCATTCTTGGAGCTGTTTGAAAGCAAGCTTTAAAAGGAAAATGGCATTAAAAAAGTAGGAATCCAAGATCTTACCATCCAAAGTTGAAATTGCAGGTTTTTGAAAAGAAACCACAAAAGGAAAATGGGATGAGAAAAGAAGGAATCCACGATCTTACCATTCAAAGTTCAGTCTTGCAGGTTTTTGAATAGAAAGCCGTGAAAGGAAAAGGAGATGAGAAAAGTACAGAAAAGTAGGAATCCAAGATCGACCATCCAAAGTTCATTTGTGCTAGTACTGTGCTAGGACAGTTGGGCAAAACTATAGATAGAATATCCTCTAGAACCATGAAAAGACTGAATTTTTAAAGGATGCTTGGAGTTGAGCTCCACATCTACCCATCCAAAGTTCATTCTTGGAGCTGTTTGAAAGCACACTTTAAAAGGAAAATGGCATTAAAAAAGTAGGAATCCGAGATCTCACCATCCAAAGTTGAAATTGCAGGTTTTTGAAAAGAAGCAACAAAAGGAAAATGGGATGAGAAAAGAAGAAATCCACGATCTTACCATTCAAAGTTCAGTCTTGCAGGTTTTTGAATAGAAAGCTGTGAAAGGAAAAGGAGATGAGAAAAGTATAGAAAAGTAGGAATCCAAGATCGACCATCCAAAGTTCATTTTTGCTAGTGCTGTGCTAGGACAGTTGGGCAAAACTATAGACAGAATATCCTCTAGAACCATGAAAAGACTGAATTTTTAAAGGATGTTTGGGATTAAGCATGTATTTGTGGTGTTCCCTGCCCCTTCCTCCACATCTACCCATCCAAAGTTCATTCTTGGAGCTGTTTGAAAGAACACTTTAAAAGGAAAATGGCATTAAAAAAGTAGGAATCCAAGATCTTACCATCCAAAGTTGAAATTGCAGGTTTTTGAAAAGAAACCACAAAAGGAAAATGGGATGAGAAAAGAAGAAATCCACGATCTTACCATTCAAAGTTCAGTCTTGCAGGTTTTGGAATAGAAAGCCGTGAAAGGAAAAGGAGATGAGAAAAGTACAGAAAAGTAAAAATCCAAGATCGACCATCCAAAGTTCATTTGTGCTAGTACTGTGCTAGGACAGTTGGGCAAAACTATAGATAGAATATCCTCTAGAACCATGAAAAGACTGAATTTTTAAAGGATGTTTGGGATTAAGATTAAGCATGTATTGATGGTGCTCCCTGCCCCTTCCTCCACATCTACCCATCCAAAGTTCATTCTTGGAGCTGTTTGAAAGCAAGCTTTAAAAGGAAAATGACATCTAAAAAGTAGGAATCCAAGATCTTACCATCCAAAGTTGAAATTGCAGGTTTTTGAAAAGAAGCAACGAAAGGAAAATGGGATGAGAAAAGAAGGAATCCACGATCTTACCATTCAAAGTTCAGTCTTGCAGGTTTTTGAAAAGAAAGCTGCGAAAGGAAAAGGAGATGAAAAAAGTATAGAAAAGTAGGAATCCAAGATCGACCATCCAAAGTTCATTTTTGCTAGTGCTGTGCTAGGACAGTTGGGCAAAACTATAGATAGAATATCCTCTAGAACCATGAAAAGACAATTTTTAAAGGATGCTTGGAGTTGAGCATGTATTTGTGGTGTTCCCTGCCCCTTCCTCCACATCTACCCATCCAAAGTTCATTCTTGGAGCTGTTTGAAAGCAAGCTTTAAAAGGAAAATGGCATTTAAAAAGTCCAGGATCTTACCATCCAAAGTTGAAATTGCAGGTTTT